GGGTTGGCTGGGTCGTCTTCGTTTTTCTGCCCCGTTTTTTCGATTGTGGCTTTTTGAACCCACCATCCTGGGAGGCATAATCCGATTCGGATTCTTGCGAACTCCCAGGGTTCATCCTTTCGTTTCAATTCCACTCGTATATTCTCGTTGAACGATAAATGCGGTTGTTTATATTTGAAGAATTATTCAAATTCTTTGCGCGATGTGTAAACAACTTTGCTTTAAATATGCAAACACGTCTTATCACCACGAAGCTCGGTTTAAGACTCGCATACTGTTATTATTTTAGGTTTTATTTAAGGGTTACTTGTTACGTGGGGCATTCTATTCCGTGGATGATTTCCTTAGTCACCAATGGGTTATTAAACCCTGACTTGATGTTCGATGTAATGCTGGATTTTGTGTGTCGCTCTGATCGTATCTGTCACTGTGTTTATCAGTTTATCTAATTAATTGTATTTTATTCAATTTTATCAATATTACTGACGTATGTAAAAGTTGAATATTTTTAGCATGAATAAAGGAATTTGAATTTGAATTTTAGATTGTTGCTATGGAAACAATGCCTTATGTCTTGTACTAGTTTCCATGGCTAACTTCGATCAACTAAATTGAAAAAGTATAAATTGTTCGCAGACAGGAACTAGGAGTAATTTAAAAATTTACCATAAATAAGTTTTTCTCAAATATCTGTCAATGTGTTTGACAGCTGTCAAATTTTAGGAAAATAAAATTGGTTTCTAGTAGAGCATACAAAACTGCAATTCATTGTCTATTTGACCTTCTTCGTAATGGCTCTAGTTCCGAAGATAATTGTACTAGTCATCGGAAAAACTCACCCTGTATTTTAAGTCTTGAAGAGAACACTTTTTAATCTAGTCATAAATACGCTGTAATGTTGATAGCAGTCAACAACTGCCTGCCTGGATGCATGGTTGGCGCAGTGCTTTTCCATTAAAACTTAATATTATAAAGTTTTGCAATGTCTGCAAGTTGAAGCAAGTAGCAAAGGTAGGATATTTTCTTGAGGAATCAAGAAATTCCTATTGATGACTCTTCCATTAACCCCCCCCCNCCCCTAAGATTTTGAGCGACTTTCCATATGATTATCGCTTTCAACTGGACACGCTGGAGTGGCTTAAAGCCTCGAAACCATAACCACAGGGTTGCTCATTAGTGCGTCAAAGTGCGATATCTCAGTAAATATGAACTTTACAAGAAAATACGTCCTACGAAAGTTTTTCATGTTTAAAAGGTCCACATTTTAAAATTACTTTCCAATATACGGAGTGTATCATAAACGTGTGGTAGTTACCAACTTTGGTTTTTTAAATGGAACCTCCCCTTTTTTCATTCATTTTCAGATTTGTCGTCAAAATTTAAGTTAAGTTTGTGTCAAACGTTTTACCTGAAAAATTTACGATTTCCGAGTTATT